GTATCAATTAATAAAATTTTTTAGATCATCTTTTTTGAAAATTGCTTATTTTTACACATATGTAAGTTTTTTTGCAATCTCATTATTCACATGCCTTAAAGTATGCTAACATATCATTAATGTAAGGATATAAAAGCTTTGATAGTAGAAAATAAGAGTTAAGGGGTTTATTTAGATGAAATAGTAATATAAGTGCTTAATTAAATTATTTTGAATATTTGAAGGGCTTTTTTCATATTTAGCTAAACTTATTAGTTAGTATCGAACCAATTTAGTTAAAAAAAACCACTTGATTTATTGGTTTATTATGTAAACTGTTGGTTCACAATGGTTTAAAGCGGTTTAATTGTAAAACTGGTCTAATTACAACATCGAATCGATTTAGCATCGGCTCATTGGTTCAACTGATTGAACCAACGGTCCAGTTTGGTTTTGATAACTATGCTTAAAAGTAAATAAATATCACATAGTAATAAATTATTAATAACTTAATAATTAATCAATAATAACTTAATAGTAAATTATGGATAATTTATTATATATCAGTAATAATTTAGTAGTGAATCATTGATAATTTAGTAGTAAATCATTAATAATTTTATAATAAATAATCAAAAATTAAGTAGTAAATCAATGATAACATAATAGTAAAAATATAATAATATAATAATAAATTAGTAATAATTTAGTAGTAAATTATTGACAACTTAGTAGTAAATTGATAACTTATTACTAATTAACTAATAGTAGTAAATTACTAATAACTTTGTTGTAAATTGATGATAGTTTAATAGTAAATTAGTTAATCAATGATAACTTTATAGTAAATCATTGATAAATCGCTAATAAATTAATTATAACTTTATAATAAATTATTAATAACTTAATAGTAAATTATCAACAATTTAATTGTAAATCATTCATAACTTAATAGTAACTTATTTTAATAGTAAATTGTCCATAAATTAATAATAAATTATTGATAATTTAGTAATAAATTACTGATAACATAATAGTAAATCAATGATAATTGAATTGTCCATCATTGATAACTTTTTTGTACTTAAAGTTGCTAAAAATGAACCCTTATTATTAATAGAAATGAAGTTAGAACTTTTATTTGGGGTAATAGGATAAGCTTAACATGAAGCTATTAAAAAAAATCTAAATTTAAATAAAGTAACAATGTTATTGTATAAAAAGGAAATAATTTCTTAGTTGAATTTTTAAACTCCTAGATTTATAGTTATAAATGCATAATAATATATTAGTAAATTAAAGATATTTAATAAAAAATAAGTGATAACTTAATAGTTAATCATTAATAACTTGTAATAAGTTATTATTATAAGTTATTAAAAGTATATAATAAATTACTAGAAGGTTATTAAAATTATATCTAAGAGGTTACAAAAATTTTAAAAAAATTATAAAATTTATATCAATAATTACGAAAATTATATTATAAGTTACTAAACTAATATCGAAAGTTACCAAAATTATGTTGATGATTACCAAAATTCTATCAAAAGTTATCAAACTTTTAATAAAGGTTATCAAAACATATAAAATGTTATCATATTTTACTTATATAATACCAAAATCAAAATTAAACTGCTAATATTTATTATTATTATCATCATATTATCAAAAAAATTATTTATTGAATTGAATTTTTAAAGATAAAAATTTCGCACGTCTTGCAAACTAGTTCACAAATAAGTCTATAAGTAATGTATATGATTTGATATTTAGGGCCTCAGTAATCACTAATAAAAGGCGGTTCACGAACAAAGACTGTTACTCAATTTAAAATTAATTAAAAATAAATGAACAGATCCAATTTTATTATAAAATCATAGAAAATTCGATTTTTAAATAACTACACTTAAACGAGCCCATCGCACATATTATGAAAAACAAAAACCCACCACCTCATAAACTTGAAAGGGATAACTAGTAAGAGTAATAGGCAAGGCAAGACAACAGACAGAACAGAAACTGCTGATAACATGTTAGAAAAAAAAAAATCTGAATTCATTAGCCTTTGGCAGCCAAGATTGTATGAATCCGGGAGCGACGTTGACTCGACAGCCAATGGAATTGAAACCTGAAAGTTCAAAGGTTTCATGATATTTGTAAACGACCACTCCAATGGTCATTGAACCTTCCATTACAGTTCATTGCACCGGCTAAGTAGCTATATGGTAAGGCCTCAACAAAATCTTGACCAAGCTAAAACATATTTCATGAATTAATCAGAAAGCTTCCAATGAGATCCTGACTAGTGGTTATAAATTAATCCTAAATAATTACTGTCGGCCAAAAATGAAAGAGACAAATCATGATCTTAATTCCACCATCCCATTTTCAATTAGAGCAATATTATAGTGATCAAATAAATTATTATATTAGCTATAGGCTACAGCAAAGAAAATTGATACATGCATCAAACTTTCATTGCCGGATTGTTGAAAATGAATTATAGTGGGGGGAAGGATTAGCTATTAGTCATGGCAACATTAAACTGGTTACAAAAGGAGGACATTTCACCTGTACTGTAACCTTGTCATTCCACAATTCCGAGCTGAAGCCAATACCACTAGAAGATGTGGAACTGAAAAATAAAAGTTAAAGAAGGGAATTGTTGAGTTCATGTACTGTTGGCTTGGCCCAAAGATATCTGTTGACAAACCTAAGCACAAACTAATAATGGCAGATATGCTACAATAGATAACGGAACAGGTCACGAGGATCGGCTTGAGTGGGTGTTGATAGGATGAAGATGACGAGTTCAAAAGCCCACTAAACTCTTGGTGCTTCTGGGGTAAAAGGGTGGGTGATGTGTGCCAGAAGTGTAGCTGATGGTTGACACTATTGAAAAATGAAGTGTGGACAAATTATGGAGGGGCGGATAGTGCTTCTAAAATGGTTGGCTTGAGTTAAAAGGTACCAACGAGAAGCTGTTGAAAAGTGTTGAAGGTGATTCTCTGTCATTTTAAACACAGATAAGAGATAGGGGCAATACCTCTTCAAGTGGAATAAAATCTACCATCTCCGAAAGAAAAGGACAATGGTTTTATTGATTGAAAGTTGGAAGGTGACCCCAAGTACGAAGAAGAAATCACTCTGGTGGTAGAATAGATCTATTCTAATAAGAACAAGTTGAATTTTAGCTCTATCTACAGTTCACATTGAGGAATAAAGGAATGCTCCTAACAATCGACAGCTTGTTCCTTTTAGAATCAAACCTTCTTTAACAGCAATTTGTTAGATCCAATTCAACAATCAATGAACCTTATCCCTTTAGATTTAGCATCTGCATGCACGTATTTTTCTGAAAGAGAAAGATTAAAGATATGTTAGGATGATTCAACACAACTTAATCCGATTAAAGTATCAAAATATATTGCATTTGACAGCAAATGAAGTGCAACAAATTGCAGAAACATTTTCAGTTCGATTTATCTGCTGTCTAATGTCACGTTTTATTGTAGGAGAGTAACATGGCAACAGAAGAGAATCCTTCTGAAATTTCTAGTTTTCTTTTCTTTCTATTACTTTTATCTCATACAACATGTTGCAATCACTCCACATCCAGTTAACCTCAAGAAACAGAACCCCTCCAAGTAAGCAAGCTATCATAGTAATCTTAATTACCTAGGATGGTGTCTTGCTGGATTTACAGCGGCAATATATCACCAACACCTAAATGAAAGATGATGTCAGATCTTTCAATATGATCAGCCTATTTCTGTGGCTCAAACCTTAATAGCTGCAGAAAAACAAAATGAGCTGTTTGGAATGACAAAGGTGGAGAAAAACAAAGCCTCCATCATCAATAGATCAAGATCAAGTCATTAACCATCTTCACACTTTACATGGCCAATAGAAAATCTCAGAGCCCATATCAACACCACATCTATCACATGCTCATTTCAACTACCTTTCCAGCCCATAATACCATTATGATATCAATCAACAAATTTTGTACTAGATGCAACCATAGTGCAGAACCAGAAAGTGCAAAGTTCTTCATAATACTATGTAAAGCTAGCAATAATTTTGGTGTCAACCAGCCGATGATATGAGGACTTGGTGATTTGCAATAATTCTGCATCCGCTCCATCTCATCTCTCCATGTCAGTTATATCCAAAGATCCGTGTCCTGTTTAAATTTGAGACCTCAATTTTTCCTTTGAAATCAGAGGCTATGTTTATCCATGATTAATTATTGGAAGAGTAAAGGTTAGACTTCGGCTGGAAATTTAAGAGATTTCACATACAATCCTACTCAATGTTTGAACCTCTAGATTATTAAAATGTAGCTATAAGAACAATTGGTATGACTCAATTCCAGTCAACTATGTCTAGCAATTAGAGTAAGCTTTAATTCATAACCTACAGATGAAAGCAATTTGCAGATGGAACAAGGTTAGATCAGAACAAATTGCAATCAAATTGGTAGCTTGAACATTGGAATGTTGGCTCGTAGTTTCTTGTCCCTTTACTTCATCTACTGTAGACAACATTGACACAAAATTTGATACTCAAATAAGCCCCAAAGAAAATTGCATTCGGGTAATAATTTCCGGTGAAAATATTTATAATTAAACAATTAGGTCCATTTGAATTTTAACTAAGCACTTGACCAAAATTTTTAGCAGCTTGAACTTATCTACTCTAAATGCTTGAGCTAAAAGACCAAACTTGCAAACAAGTGCCAAGTCCATCAGTTTCAGCATACAACAGAAAACTAGACAGACTAAGGAATTTTCAATGAATAGCTAATTATATTCATTCAATTTTAATATACAATTTATACAAATGTACATTCAATATTGTCTCATACATCAAACACAAAAAATTACAACCCCTTTAAAAACATTCCATCCATAAAGAAGTGAGGCATTTTGGGGAAGAAGAAGAATATTACCAAATGAAGCATGGCCTTTTTTTCCTTCTCGCCTTGAGAATCTTACCAGTATCAGTCATTCTTTTCAATTAATCCCATAACTCCCATCTCTCTGCAAGCTCATATCATAAACTTCAGACTTAAAATTACTTCTTTTATGATAAATATCAGCCTTCAAGTTACTTCCATTATCATAAACCCCAGACTTCAAATAAGTTCTCTTCCCATCAGAATTAACCTCCCCAGCAGCATCCAACCTTCTCCTAATTCCTTTCCTCCTCCATTTAACACCGTTCCTTTTCACATTTCTCTCTGAATTACCATCTTCAATCTCAGTCTCCTCTCTCTTATTTTCAATCAAAAGATAAGTATTTTAATCACTCTCTCTACTTCTCAAATGCGGTTTAACACTATGAGCAACCCCCTTAGGAAAAAACCTGGCAGAAGGCAACTCATCAACAGTTTCAAACAACTGGCGCCCATCTTTGTCACTCTAAATATCGAAACCGCCAGGTTTCTGGAACTTGTCAGCCAAGACTTTAACTTCCTCATCACCTGCAACGGATAACAAGTTGGGTACTTTTTCAACGACCTCCCAAGGGCGTTCAAGTTCGGAGACAGCGGCTTTGAGTTCGGCCCTTTTGCGCATTTCATAGATGTGACGTTCACGGCAAGGCGGGCTTTGAGGAGTTGAGTGGCTTTCTTGAATTGCATGCGTTTCCATTGCCATTTCGAGACTCCACCTGGGTAAGTTCTGGGGCCAACTCCCATGCGAATTATGGTGTTGGGTGCGGTTGGGATGTGGAGGGAGATGCTCGAGAGCTTGTGTGAAGGAAAAGGGGGGTTGGGGAAAGGAGGGATTTTGATATGGAGCCGAGATTGAAAGTGGCATTTTCAGGATTGGGGACATTGAATTTGGAGAAAGAACAGGAGTAAAACGATTGGTTTTTTTGGCCTTGAGGGGCTTGAACAGAATCAGGAAGAAATCGGCAAAGGCTGTCTGAAGCCTGCTAGAAGGTGGAGCTTGTGGTTGTGGATAATGATGAAACGATAAATTAGTACTTTCGATTCAATTTTAATAAAATTTAAATATGATATAATTATTATTTGATTTATTAATTGAGTAAAATTTAAATATTTTTATATTCGATAAAATATTTTAATATATTTTAATTAATAAAATATTTTAAATTTGAATTGAAGTTTAAATATAAATAATCAAAATTTTTATTGAATATAAAATTTAAGTTTATTTTTATATATTAATTAAGATTAATCAAGTAAAATTGAATAATTTATTTTTATATCGAATCGAGTTTAAATTAAAAAAATAAAAATTGATTGAATTTGAGTTGAGTTTCGAATTTCAAATTTAAAATCGAACTCAAACTTGAATTTAATATTGTATTAATTCAAATTCGATCGATTATATCATTAATTGTGAGTCTTTTAGCATAAACAAGATTATCTGTTAAGCCATTGATAATTCAATTTTGATGAAATTAATTGATTTAATCAATTTAATTCACTTAATCAATTAATTATTGAATTAACTTCCATAAGTTAAAAAACGATTTTAGTAAAATTTTGATTTTTGATTAATTTGATTTTTAAATCAAATTAATTAAAAAATATAAATTTAAATATAAAGTAAATAAAATAAAACATTTTATTTTATAAATTGTTAGAATTTTTAATATAATATTTATATAAAATATGAAAAATTAAATTAAATATAAATATATTTATTATTTGATTAATTAAAAAAATTAATTGAATTGACTGAACTTATTTTAAATTAATTGAATTTAATTTAAAATATTTTTTTGGAATTATATTTATGTTCCCTAAATGAATTGGATTTGGATTGGAACCTGTAATCATTTTGTTTCTGAGATAAACGGATCTTTTAGGTGTCAACCTACGTAGATTATGTTCTAAGAAATTTCAGGACGTCTAAGGCCTCCCCCATGGCTTCCTCTTCTCATTGGTTCAGGTTTCATTAACTCGGGGATAAATATGATTGAAATATCAAAAACAGAAAAGGGGAGACAACAGCTATTGGTTTAACTGTATGTTTGTATGAATTTTGTTCCAAAGGTGGTTTGTGCGATTTTCTTAAGCCATTCTCTGTGTTTCCTTTGCAAAATCAATGAGAAAAATTTTACATTTCTTGTTGCGTCAAGTACTGTCCCTTTTCTTTAACATCCCGTGAATCTTCCAGTTTGGAAAAGGATAAAATTTTTCATATTTAGTGAAAATATAGGTAACTCCACGATGTAAAGATGCATGCAAACTAAATTTTAATTTTTAAATAATTATTGATTTCACTAGTTTCTACATGGTGTATCAGCTAAATATCTTGCTAATCAAGGAAGGGAAAACATATTCAGATCCAAAATTTGTTAGAACTCTAGTCTGAGATCAGACCTGTAATGTGTCATTGCTGCTGAATATGTCCCATGTTTTTATTACTTTGAAGCAAGATAAGGTGGGTCGAACGTAAGGTGTCAGAAGACCGTAGCTTCGTGTTGTGTAACAGCCAATGAGGGAAGCCAGTTGAAATTCGAGAAACAGAAGCTCAAGATAACTTTTGGTTTGGTTTTAATTCATCTGCATTCTTCGCCGTGTTGTACTTTTAACACTAAATTATAATCTTGTGAAATACAGGTTGGCATCAAGACCGCTCCAGGGGATGATAGTCAGGCCGACATCAAATCTCTTGCACGTGTAAATGACCAGGTTGTTGCCTCACTGGGATTGACCATCACCATGCAATAACCTCCCACAGGATCTCCAGCAAACAATTTTGGGTTAATTATGGTTTAGCAAGCAACCTAATGCAAGCTCAGGGTTATAATAATTCAGAAGACAGTAAACTGACAGGACCTGCTTTATTCAAATAAACCTCTGATCTGATCTTTTCTCTCCATAATGGTTCAAACCCCAGTTGTTTCCCATGCGAACAGCATCTATATTATTTTATTCCCTTGCTTAGTACTGCTAATTTAATGATGTAACAGCAGCTTGCTAGCTAAAGCATTATGTGCTCCGGTGCAACGTCTCAAGTTTTTGGAGCATCCTACCGCAAAGTTGGATTACAAGTTCCAAGGTGAAATTCTTTTTTTTTTTTTTTTGAAATGATTCCAATCCCTGCTATAACACTACCGACATTGTATGTTTATTCCTCTACATTCCTCTAAGCAACTTCCGTATCGTTGAATCAACCTTATTATTGTTGTACCTGTAAATAAGTGTAATTGGTTGATTGGCATAGACATGTTTGGGCAAAACTTCATGTGGTTTTTGAAGTGGTTGTAATCATCTTGTGGATTTATGATATTTGTTGACACTAGTAAATTTATGATTGTCTGTTGAAAATCTCAAGCAGCGGATCACGAAATCCGAGTGTTTCCAGAAAGGAGATGTTTCTGTAATTCTTCAACTTTACATCATGTAGTTTGAATAACTTGATTAACCATTTTGCTCTAAATTTTTACGTCGAGATGGAGAATTACAAAACGCTTCCTGTAATCAAAGACATATTCAGGACAATGCCTTAATAGGCTTAACGTGTCGTTGTGCTTCCATTCGAAGAACATTAGACATGTTCAAGACTTTTAAGTAGCAACATTCATCCAACACTTGACAAGTTATCCTGTAGAGGAACAGTACCCTCAGCTTAATAAGCTAAATATAATAGTGCAGAGTTTGACTTAAATTAGTTTTTCAATTAGAAAAAGGGTGAATAAACTTTTAATATGATGACGTTCCAAAAGGCAAGATGGAGACGGTATTCAAAATGATCTTTACTTTATAAGCCAATGCTTGCTTTGGCTTTGACAGTGTACTAACCTAGGCTTCTCGCAAACTGTAAGTCTCTTCCCATAACTCCTTTCTCTCCACCACTGTGGGCGGCAGGTTTGGAAGTTTGATGAGTACTAATTTCCTTATTGATACCCCAATGCTGTCTTTGTATGGCTCTTTTTGCAGCTTTTCCCTTCTATATAAAAATTGGATCCATAGGTATTGGATAATCTTCATCACACCCCCCTCCAATTGTCAATATGATTAATTCAATCATACTGGTTAACAAACTCTACAAATAAACATATTGTTCCCTTGATTGAAGTCTTAGTTGTATTTCTAATATCCTAATGCATGCACGTGTATCTACCTCAATATCCCCCACTCAACAGACAACTCCACTAAAACAGATTAAGAAATTGTAGTAAATTATGCTCGGAATCCGGCAACGGGAAACTTCCATCAGACCCCATCTTATGGGATGCGTTTACAAGCAGTTCTTCTGTATATATAACCGAACCCTCCCTCACAAGGCCAGAAACCAGTCCCTTCAGAATCAGAGGACAAAAGCATCTTTAATTGCCCACCATCCATTTTGATTCAAAAATGGCTCTGTGTTTTCTTCTTTGCTTGGTCTTGGTAAATGCTTTGGTGGCCGTGGCTAGTGAAAATGCTCAAACCAAGCTCCGGTCTAGTTCAGCTGATCTCCAACATCCTCCAGCATCTGCTCCATACAACAATGAAAAACCATATAACCCTGAAGCACCCACGATAAGGAGAATTGGAAAGCACCAGTCGAAAATATTCAAGACCTTTGGCAGTGCACCAGCTTCTAGCCCATTCCATGCTCCCCATACTGAAAATAACTTTCACCCTACTGATGATCACACTGCAGCCGCCACTGAACTGAACAATGGAGAAAACGTGAGTGTTGAAGGACAGGCCATCCATCTTCAAAAGCATCACCATTCCATGGACAAATCTGTCGCCGGGGGTGGTGTGATCCTCGGAGGTCTTGCCACAAATTTCCTGGCGGTAGCTGTTTGCTATATAAGAGCAACTGGAAGACACAAATCAGAGACTCATCAAAGTACCACTGAAATCACTAAGTGATTTGTATGTATACAATTACATGGCATTGTGAATGTCACTTTCTGCTAAAAAATGTAAAGAAAATTATAAATAGAAAATGGATTGCTAGTTCTTTACATTAGTGCAAATGATATGAATCAAAATTTATCTTTCAGTGATGCTGGAGGTAGTTGGCTTCTTGCTGACAGGGGCCTGGATCATTATTTTGATTGTTAATAAAATTAGTTCCATCTAATATTGAGTTCTGTAATTTACTACCAAGTTTGCCAAATCCCAAATGGAGAATCAATTTTGCAGCGATATTCTAGGCAGGAAGTTTAACATAAAAGGGCCAAAGGCCCAAAATTATGGTTAAGTTTGGTATGGTTAAAAAAAAATCATTGGAACTAGTAGTATTTTGGTTCATTAAATGAATCGGTTCATTTGAGTTGAAAATTCGGATTATTTGTCCAAATTGAATTGTGTTATTTATTTATTTTTAATAATTTTTTAGTTTTCATCAAATAAAATAATTATTTTTGAGAAAAAACAAAATAATAATTAAACTAAAAATAACAACTTTTAAAATATTTCAATTTTGATTTGAATTCTGACAAGCCAAAATATATTATACATTAACAGTAATTTTTGTCCAAAATAGAACCGGAACGGACCAAATTCTATGATGATCCAATTTCACACTTCACCATTTCAAGGCAGCCCAAAGTCCAATAACAAGGTATGCCAACGTGGGCCAATGTAATTAAAACAACATTGGTCTAATCTCGGGCTTCAATCGAACTGTTGTAGATTCTACTTGCAGCATACGATAGCACAGAGTCTCTAAAACTCGAAAAGTCGCAACCTCCGAGCCACCGACTCACCAAACTGCGAAGCCTTTCTGTAGATTGTAATACATCAATAATCTCGAAGATGTCGAACGAGAGATCAGTAATTGCAGTTATTAGAGCGGCGAGACCTTCCTTTAGGAACGATGCCGAAAGGATCGCTTTTGCCGTTCACGCCTCTTTTCTTTCATCGGGTTTTGTCCTCACCGCCACTGGGCCTGACGCTTTAGCCGACAACGTTCTCTCCTCTCCCTCTACTGGTATTCCTCGTTTTACTCTTTGTCTCTTGATTGTTAATATTATTCTTTCACTTCCTTGAAAACGTTGCCGTTTTCTAGATGAGGTGGGAATCGATAAGTGGAACGAGTTTGAGGATCATTACGCGTTTGTTTATATCAATCCCGAGAAAGGGACCAATAAAGTGTTGATTAAATGTCTGGTAATGAATGGGCAATTGCTTGTTGATGCTTTGGCTCATGGCAGTTCTCAACCTGTTCATCTCGAAATTGAGTATTTATCATTTCCCTTTTTTTATATATATATTTGGTCTCTATTTTGTTGAATTTTTTTCGAATTTGTTGAATTTTTTGGTTTAAATTGAATTTGTTGTGGGGTCTGTTTGGTTATTCCAGCATTGATAACTATGTTGGGGACAATGGAAGTGGAAATTACTCTGCACAGTATAAGAATTTAGAGAAGTTGGTGAGTAGTTTGGACAAAGAAGTCATATCCAAGTTATATGGTTCATCTTTGAAATCGAGTTCATCAAGTAATCCTTCTAGGTAATTAAGCTAATTTAGGCTTGGCCACGTTAGTTTTCGATTACAAGTAGCTGCCATCAGTATTTCTAACGTTTGAAATTCTCTAGGAATTGATTACAAGTAGCTGCTATCAGTATTTCTAACTTTTGAAATTCTCTAGGAATGAATAATTTTTTTTCACATTTTACATTGTGTTTTGTAGTTTAGAAACAGGTGAAGGATCAAGGCGTGATGTAAATGATGCTGGTGTTAGAATTAATGAACCAACAGGCCCTCAACCCCATCCTTCAGGGTATCTCTTGCATTCTCCTTTTTTATTTTGGTTTAATCCAGTTCGTCCATAATTGTTCATGGCATCTGCATGCTTTATTTTGGTCTTTCTTTATATTTTTCTACTTTTTTGTAAACTGCTTTTTTCTACGTGATAACTTTACAATCATGAAACTTATGGTACATTGTGATTGATGCAACAAATCATATTCATGTACTTCATAGTCTTAATTTATTTGTCAAAACTTCATTACTGAGGTTAAACTTTCATGTTCATATAGGTAACCAAAGTTAGATAATACTTGATATCTGTTGACCAACTTGAGGTTTAGGTTTTTTGACAATGTCTAGATACATATAATGTTTCCCGATTTAGGCAAGGCTCACTGGTAGCTTTTGTCATTTTGGTGTAAGTGCCTTTAGAGAACAATTTATTTGCATATTACATTGGAAAAGCAAATCTGTGATTGCTCTGATATTAGCTGCCAATCATACAAAACCTTAAATAAGATTGGACATGTGCATGTTATAAAAGGGGAAAAAAATTAGTATGAGACTGATTTTTTTTCAGTTGTTCAATGAACTTTTCCTTGTCTGTGGGTCTAATTAATTGTCCGCATATCTCCATTACTTTCCTCCCAATAGCTCATATGCTCATCAAAATTATAAACTTGCTTTACAGGGTATTTATTCCCTCAATTAATCCTATTGGTGGTAGTGATCTCTTTCCTGGGCCTGGTGCTGGAATGTATCCTACCAGGTACTTCCATTCCAAATCAGTGTTATAGTGGTCACCACTTGTTAACTGGTTGGTTTTAGTTTCTGACTTGAGTGTTGTGTTTTTTGTTAAATGGCGTTCAGGGGTGATTTTGGTGGTGGCGGCATGCTTCTAGGTTTGTAACATTTGTCATTGTACTTGTGGTGAATTGGCATGTCATATTCCTCTTGTGGCTTAATTATATATTATAATGTGGAAACAGGACCAAATGATCCTCGTTGGTTCGGTGGAGTTGGTGGAGAGCATGGTTTCCCTGGAGCACAACCGTGAGCTCACTCTGTCTCTCTTTCTCTGTGTTTATGTGTGTTTGTGTTTGCTGCTACTTTGTACCAGAGATTTTATTCTGGATGGATTGTTTGAAACAGGGGTGTTCCTCCCGGTGCACGTTTTGATCCCTATGGTCCACCTGGTGTTCCTGGTTTTGAGCCTAATCGATTTTTCAGGTACTTTAAAACTTGCAGTTACTGTTTTGGATCCATTGCGATGATTTCTACGCACTTACGATCTAAGCAATAACATGATACCTAATTACAGTATTTTCTCTTGTAGAAATCCACCAAGGAGACCTGGGGGTGGTACTCATCCCGACCTGGAGCATTTTGGAGGTGGTTCAGATTACATTTAGATGCATCTGAAAGACTTGGGGTCCTTTTCGCTCGCCCTCTGAGTATGATCCCCTTTTTTTTATCTGTTATATAATATGGTGATGTAGAAGGATCTAAAGGTTGTACTTAAAAACATATAATATTAGTTATCCAGCTATGCGACCAGACTTTTTAAGCATGTTAATAGTTTGTGCTCGTAGTGCTGACATATTTTGAATCTATTTGGTCATACACTATTTCATTTGGTCATGTCAAATCAATCACAATCTTGCCTATCAGATTATAGAGCTAATAGTGATATGAACATTTGACTAATGTTAAGAAAGTAGAGAATTGAGAACCTTGGTGTATTATTGAAAACTTTATTCCCTTCATTATAAAATTGTGGAGAATGTGAAAAACAAGAAATGCAATGTATATTCTTTACTATCTCTATAAATGTCTTAAGTTTTCTTAATCATTTTAAAGTATTGGTAATCAAATCTTACAGTGTTGATATAATTTTAACATTTTATTTCTTAGTTTAAAACCAACTAATTTTTACTATAATTGGAGCGTATTGCCAGCTCGGTATCATTGAGCATGACTATAAATCATGCGGGCTCTCCCCGCGCAGGTTCGAATCCTGCTACTCACGTTCGTCTTAAGTTTCACTTGGTCCTATGCCTGCAAAGCCATTATTTTTTTAATAGATAACATTTGATTAAGCAACGGATCATCATTTATTTAGAAATGAATAAAAACAAGCATCTAGTAGAATTCCTTGTAGTCAAGGTCCCATCCAATCAATTCTTAGTCAAGTTCCCATCCAATCAATTATCAGTTGGTGTAACTGCGTGGCTTAAAAGTTAAACCACCAAACCAATCAGAAGCATCCCTGGTCTTTTCTCCCCCAACACTGTTTTCATCCTTTTGATATAAGGTACTTATGTTCATTCAGATTGAACTGATAAACTCGTTCATTAATCATCATAAACTTAAAATCAGGTCTTCCCCTTCATCATTTCATTTTCCCCCCCCTTCTTTTAAAGTGGTTTACACGATGTGGTTCAACTTTCAAGTGATTAATTAAGTAGAAAATAATATAATATAAATATTTTAAAATATGTCAACCGTATTGTAATCTATTAATAAAATATTAGTCTTAGTTATAGTAATTAGATTTAACTTTTGATAAATTTAAATATCTAAAAAGAATTCCATAAATCCTCGAAACTGTATTCTATTAATAAACAAAAATAAGGAAACATTTCATTTATTATCGCTTGAACAAGTTTTTATTAGCGTATACCAAAAGTTAAAGTTTAGCCATAAATCTCAAGAGACGCCCCAGATCACTCATCTATAATTCTATATGATGTGAATTTGTAGAACGTGGGTGAGCATCTGCTGCAAAATTCAGCCAAGAGCAATTGACAAGGAATCAGGAGCCAAGACCCAGAAACATCTCATATATGCAAATTTTTGTCTTGTCTAATCGTGCAAGTAGTAGGGTCGTGGTACCCGCAATTGCCCATTGACTTAAGGTAGGAAGTTTCGACCAGTTATCGTTTCCTTGTGCGGTTATGACAGTTCCCCACGTCCCTTTTTTTTTTTTTTTCTCTCTCTCTCTCTCTTGGAAACGTAAACAAGTTGGAAACGTGTGGCACGCTCTTTAATTTTCTTCTCTAGAAGGCCTCCACGCCTTTATATCCGAGCATTTAGTTCAAACAGAAAAATAAAGCCACCTTTCCAGATTAACAAATACCTGATGTGACTGCTTCTATTAAAAAATTAAACCCATCATTGCTTTTTCTTTTGCTTATATTCAGCCCTTCTGATTGCTTGCAAATTCCAGCGACCGGGGAAAATGGATAAATTCCATGGTTTTCTGCTTCTGATGTTGCTTGTAATCTCCGTTTCTGCATCCCAGTTGCCCCTTGCTTCGTCGGCAAGAACACTTTCCATCCTGCCTGATCAACAAAGTAAGAACCTTTTTGTTAATTTATTCAGCTTTTTTAGTGATTGCTGATTGTTTCATTTTTAGTCGACTTATGGGTTTGTTCTTTATATAATTTGTAGGATACTCGAAGATTTTTGCTACTCTTGGAGTTGTCTGCAAATGTTGCGATGGAACTGGAGGTGAATGCTCCAGTACTTGGACTCAACCCTGCTCTCAGCTCAAGTGCTTGCCTTGGAAACTACATTAGGATTTTGGCCAATTTTTATTCTATGTTTTCACCTTTTGTGGTTGTATCAGGTTCAAATTCTTGTCCTGAATCTTTTGAAGCTTAAGAGCCTTCTTTCTGATTTGTGCTATCAGCTTACAACATTGATCAATATGTTCTTCTAGAACTTCAGTTAGACTACGCTATTTACACTGTTTGTACTTCAAGATCCTTTGAGCTACAGAGTTACTAAAATTTACCGGGCAAAGATTCCATCTAAAACACTTAAACAATCCAGGAAAACCATAAATCAATTTCAAGCAGATAAAGATTATCAATCTGAAAACTGCCAAATTAAAAGCAATACGCGTAGTTTGGCCCCCAAAGACTGTTGCAAATCCAATCATGTAACAGCAAAGTTTTGGTGGCTGGCAACCACTCGATAATTAGAACAAACTATAAATCATTGACTTGGTAAGTCTTTCTGAGATAAACAAAAGCCCTATTCCAGAGCATTGATTGGGAGGTTACGAATGGTGATCAATAAGTCACAGAGGGAGCATCTGTCTAATTATTTTCTCCCATTGCTATCAAAGTTCCTATCTAAAGAACAAAACAATTGGCATAGGTCATTGACTAGGTCAATGAAATTGTCTCTTATAAAAATAACAAACCAAAAGAAATTGTAATTCTAGATAAATTTAGTGACTAACTTTCTTCTTCCTGGAGGTATTTTTATTTTATTTTATTTTATTTTTATTCTTCTTGGATTTATTAGCTACTGGTAACAATGTTCACATTCTATTTTTCAAACTTTCTCAATGAATAAAGTGTATTGCTATGTTAAAAGAAATTTAAGATTCCTTTTCAGACTTCGGCATTTTGAAAGTTAAAAGGAAACTATTTTGCGGTGATTGAAGAGCTTTTTAGGCATAATTAAAGGTATGGGTTTCTTAAATCCAAAATTTAATTCAGCTGATCATATAATTACTTTTAAAATATAGCACTTAATAAATTTTAAATCCAAATCTTCATACCTATTACATTTTTCTTTATCCTCAAGATTGTGTCATCTTTGTTAAAAAAAATACAACTTCCTTCTTAATTTTTCACATGAACACACAATTTGTTACATAGAATAGATAACTATTCATCTTGATTACTAGTTTAAATTTACTTAGTCATAAACCAGTAAAACTTTTTTTTGGTTAACTTCTTTTTTTAATAATCTGGGCAAAAAGAGATTTGTATAAAAAACTTGTGAAATTTAATTTGATCAAATGTCAAATAACTCAAACATGGGTAATCACAACTAATCAAAATTGTTATCTATCTAAGGTTTAATTAGATAACTCAAGTTATTACCTCAAAAACAAGAAAATTCAATTTAATTATGAATTAATTAGTAGAATTGAATGAAGGAGTTAGAAGGATTTAAAGTCTTAATTAATGAATTTTTTTTTTTTAAAGAAGCATGAGTCTTCCCGTGGCTCGAAGTTTTGGATTTCAGTTTGATACCATCCAGCAGGAAATCGTGGATTGAAGGATGACATACCTGGGCCTGCTGTCATCAATTCCACCTGCGCCTCAGTCGTTTGTCAGCCTTTTCTGTCTTCTCCACCCAAATGGAGAAAGTTGGGCCTAAAACACCCCTCTTTTGTTTTGTGTCAGCAAAACAAAATCCAGGAATTGGAGTGCAGGGCAAAGCAAAGAGCAGTAGAGGCACGTGCGAGTCTCGTTTAATCCTCGTCGGGCCTTGGCCGAATAGAGACATCACTGTCATGCTCCAAACGTGTTTACTTTCCATTTTTCTTCTGCCCTCTTTTTCTTTTTTTTTTTGGTTCTTATCCGCCGACTAAGCTTTTGATTTAGCTTGCCGTTTTGTGATTGCGCTGCTCTTGTATCCAATACCACAGTTTGACTTGGTGTTGCAATTTCATCCATAACAATTTCAACAATTTTATTCTGATATTGAGTTTAATCGTTAAGTCCAAAGATTTCAGATTTTCCTCTTAATCATGAATTCTTTTTACCCGTTTTTGCAAGCTTTTTTTTTTTTTTTTTTTGGGATGACGAATACTTTTGTATTTGGAAACAGTAACATTATTGGTAAACAAAATCTCAAAACTTTATCATTGTCAACAAGAATTTTTAATTGCCTAAATAGGATTGAGTCTGTCAAAGATTGCTTTCTCCATTTGTGCATTGATTTGCTTATTCTATCTTTGCATTTAATGTGATGGTTATCCTCGAGTCATTGCTGCTTCCCTTATCTCAAAATTTCATTGTAAGTAAAATATTTTGTTTTTTTTTTTTTTCCATACACTTGAAAATAAATTTAATTTTAATTATTGAAACAAGAAATTTAATAAAAATTAAATTTTAATTATTGAAAGTATTTTATTATGATTATAATAAATCACAAGATGACTGCTGATTAAATATTTTTATTTTAGTAGTATTATTATCTCTACTTTTCAAGTTTTGGCATGCACAGCAATAGGGTTAAAAAAATAAAAGGATGAGTTAATGCAATTCACCAATGAAAAAGATATTCTATATCAACAATCAATCAATTATTTGGAAGTCAAACTGACAATGATTACTCAAATTGGTCATCCCATTTGATCCTATCCTATTTCGATAGGAAATAACACGAAGGTAAAGATACAAAGTTATGGTAAATAAAAAGAGAAAAAAAAAAAGAGTAAAGATTTGGTGATGTAAATTTGGAGTAGGTAAATTATTTAATTTTTTAGATTAAAATAAAATATATTATATTTAAAAATTTAAAATAAATAATTATAAAATATATATTTGAGATGATTTTAATAAATAATTATTAATAAAATTTAAATTTAAAATTTTATTTATCAAAAAAATAATTTTAATCAATTAAATTAATCCGTATTGGTAAAGAAATTAAAGATGTTCATATTTTCTTTCACTAGCAAATCTAATCTGCCAATGGATAAATCAACAAAAGGGGTAAGAAGCAAATGCGATAGGAACCTTGAGAACCTGACAGATTCTAGGACGACGACACGCCATGTGGCCAAAATTGGACACATTTAGGCCATGCGGCGACCCACGTCGGCGAGCGACTGTGTCACTTGACCCCCTTCCACATGGATTCCTATTCTCTTTTTCTCCAAGCCTGTCCTCACTTGCCATGTGGACCCTTCTCTTCATCATTAAACATCTTTAGTAGAAAATATTTTCTCCAATTGTATCATTGTTAATTGATCTCCAAAGGAATAAGGCTACTAATCAATATCAAATTGTAAACTTCGCTTATCGAAAACATTGAATCACATCACCTTTTTCTCCCCTTCTTCTCTCATGGGTTCCCATCAAATCATAAGTGAAGGCCCCCGGATTTGGACAACTAACTGCTTCAAATTCTCCACAGATATTCAGACCACATAATTTTCTCCAGGGTACAATTCATTAAAATTATTAGTAAAACAGGATGAAGGGTAGCTGTAGTTTGTCCTGTCCATTAGCTCCAAATGAGCAGTGGCAGTCGTGGAAACTGAGTGAATGAAGAAGACCCACCACACCGGAGGGGCTGGTGCGTCAGGATAAAAAGATAAGATCCAAGGGGGTGGTCACTGGTCACTGGTCAAGTCAGGTCTACTAACTGCCATCTTTTGCCCTGCGCCTGGTTCAGGAAAGTGGCCAAAGTAGAAAAGAAGTGAAAGAAAAAGCAGGAAATGTCAAAATTGAATTCAACAAAGAGGCTTGGCCCAAAAAAAGAAAGGGAGAGAAGGTTCTTCTGATTTAGTACAGAGAAGGGATGTAAATAGAGAAAGCTTTCTATAAATTGATTGTGATTATATTTGTTGGTGTTCGTTTATTAAATTTAATAAATGAATAGTATATAGTTTATGAATAAATTTATTTAAAATTTATTTGTTTATTATTGAATTATTATTATTTTATAATAATAATAATAATTATTATTATTGTTATATTTTTATTATTTATCTTAATTTTATTTTAAAATTTGTTTATATTTATTTATGTTCATTTATATTTATTTAATTATAATTTATTTATTATTCATGAATATATTTATTTATATATATTTATTAACAAAAATTTAAATTATAATAATAATCATATTTTTATCACATTACGTTTATTTCGATTATAAAAATAACGGTTGTTATTGCGATCATTACATTTATTATGATTGTGAATTTTTTTTTTATTTTATATCATTTATTATAAAAATATAATTAATTATAATTATAATTATAAAAATTCTTTTAAATAATTATTAAAATAATTTTATGACTATTTTTTTAGTTATACGAGAAAATTAATATTCACAATTTTTTGTTGGCTCCTCATCCTCCAAACAACTTCTTCACATTTATTTTATTTATTAATAATGTATCATTTCATTTATAAATATTTTATAATAAAAAATTCAGTAATAACGCATTCATTCACAATTTATTTGTTTTCATAAATATTTTTATCTCATGTCTTATATATATTTTTTAAATATTATTGACATATGTACAAATAAAAAATTAAAAGATATAAAAATTATATTCAATTACGGTTTTAATATTAAAGCTAAGACCGTTAATTCAATAAACCCAAAAACCAACTAAGTTAGCCAATTTTTTTTTTTTTTCACGAGGGGTGCCTCTTTTTCCTGTCTAACCCAAAATGCTACTTCGAGTTCCAACCATTGATCGCTGCTACTTCATTCGTTGCCCAGCTCCGAACTACCTCTCATTTTTCTTTCTCTTGCTTTTTTTTTCAAGTGATGCACCTTTCTCCTTTTTCAGACCTAAAACTTTACCTCTTTACTTGTTTGTTTTTTATTTTGACTTAATTTTTTAGTTTGATTGAAATTGTGTTTCTTGTTTTGAAGCTTTTCTTAGATAAAACCTGAAGATCTTTCTTAACGAAAAGTAAAATTACGGCAATAACGAATCGATAATTTATAGTTAGACATTTTTTGTGACTGCGACACACAGTTACTACTATGAATGGCATCCTCCGATTTCTTTTTTAATAACGGTGACAGTGGACCACGTTGTCACGAAATAACGATTCTTATACATTATTTTTTAAAATTTATGTTTACGAATATGTTTATTTGATATTTATGAGTAAATTCGTTTAATATAATTAAATTAAATTTTAATTGAATAAAAAAATTTTATTATTTAAATAAATAAAATTTAAAAAAATAATTCTTTTTTAAATAAAAATGAAATTTAAATATCTTTAAAATTAAATAAATTATATATATATTCATTTCTTTATATTCGATTTATTTAAAGAAAAAGGGCGGATGTTCGAGGTAATAAAAGATTGGGACTTGGATCCAGGCCCACCCCATACATTGTTTCTGCACGTGGCATAAATCTGTCTGACTGTCAACAAAGTAAAAGAACGAGAAAACAGAAAACGAAACATAAGATCTGAGGTGACAGAGTTCGTCAGCGACGACACTCACTCAGTTCATTAAAACAGTAAAAGTAAAACCGAAAGAGAGTTATTTCGATGATTTTCTTTTCTAAATTCAACGTTGTTTATTCAAAGTATAAATTGGCAAGAAAGGGACGGTTTTTATTTCTCTTAAAAAAACCACGTCAAACAAAACGCAATCTTTACGTGTCTTTCTTTTCGGTATTTTTTTTTCCTTTCTGTTGCGTACTGTTTTGTTTTCCTCTCTACTTCTCTTCTTTCTGTTTCCGTTTTTTTTTTCTTTCCTTTCTGTTGACGGTGCTTCTTTCAAATATTATATATTATCTCTCACTTTGTTGGAGACTAAACAAAGATTAACACCTGCTATAACTTATAAGATTGATAAGAGAGAAAAGAGCAGTCTAATTTGTTAAGACTTGAGAAAATGGAAGGAGGGAAAGGGGTGGGGTCGTCGTCGTCGTCCTCTTCTTCCTTTACTTCTGAGCTCTTTGGTTCCAAAGAGTCACCTTCATCTTCCACAGGGATTTTCGGGTCTATATTTGCTCCTCCATCTAAGGTATTATTATCATGTTCTATTATATTTTTTGGGGGTTTGTATTCTCTTTCATTTCTTTGGTATTCAATGTTTTTGTTATTGGGTTTTTTTTGTTTATGTCCCATGGAGTTTCGAAGTTTGAACTTTTTTTTTCAATTGGGTAATTTGAGACTATATAAAAGACTATTGTTTTAAAGTTGTTTGTTTTTTAATGGGAAGTTTTCTTTGTTGAGCTTTGCGAGATTGATTAAGGAGTACTGCTGAGAGAAATGAATTTGAAGTTTTTTGCAAATAGCAAAATAGACATTGTGTTAGGCAATAATGGAGTGATTTGTAGGTGAAAATAAGGCTGCCAATGAGAGCTTCTATAAATGCAATTGATGTTTGCAAAGCTTAAAACTTGACATTATTTCTTTCTATTGGTTTTTGCGACTGGTTTCTTCTTTTTGAAATGTATTTTACATGTTTTTGCCCTGTTCTCTCATATGTAAATAACTGCATGGCATGCAAGTTCTCTTTTAAGGCCAATTGTCTCTTTGTGCTTCTCTTTTGTCCCAATATTTTTAGAAGTTTGGTTAGTTTTCTAGTTTTGTTTAGCAGGTTTTAACTTCTTCAGGCTGGTGTTGTTTTAGGTGTTAGGAAGGGAGTCTCTGCGTGCTGATGTGATGGCCAAAAGGCAGGATTCTCCGAATGAGCCCTGGAACACAAAACCTGGGGCCTATGGTTTGTGCATCAGTTATAGCTTTTACAGGATTTCATATCAAATCATACTTATATTTACGTTTTGTATAAATAAGACAATATTTTGAGTCTATTTTCTTTTCCTTTTTGTTGAAATCCCTTTTCTGGCAAAAGCCTTTTCGACTCTATGGTAATTGATTTAACACCATTTGGTTAAAATCATAATTGGTTGTTTTGTTGTACTTTAGACCCAAGCAAGACCGATCTTTTAATTCAGTCCTGAAGTAAGGTTTTCATATTTAAGTTAAATGTTCTCATGGCTAAAGGCCTCAAGTTTTATCATTCAATGACGTTTACTTATTTATCTTAGCATTCTTAGCTTGTTTTACAAATTCCTTGGTGGTTCTTGAGTTCTCAATTTTGTATCCGAAAACTCTCTAAATGGACCCAGTCTTGTCAGGTAATTCTTCTAAAGGATATGAAGGTGAAAATCAGAGCATAGCAAATAAAGATTTGAGTTCCATTTACCAGGAGCAAAGAGTACAACCCTGTCATTTAAGTTCATCGATCTACTATGGTGGCCAAGATGTATACGTTCATCCCCAGAGTAGCCAGGGCTCTGGATTAAACTCTATGGTTAGTATATCAAGATGTCCTATAGGCATGAAATACCTAGTGACTAGTGACTCGAAGGACATTCAGAGCATTCTTTTTGCATACACATTTGGAATACTTTAAGGTTTCTAGTTTGATCAGTCTTTTGATTTAGGAATCTGCTAACATGTTTTCATTATTTTCTAGTACAAGAAGGACGGCGGAGAAGATGATTCAGGGAGTGCATCAATTGGAAACTGGTGGAAAGGTATGACTGTCTAATGGGCTCTACTGATGGGGAGCGTAGTGCATAACTTTTTAACTGTAAGGTTGATATTTTTGTTACTAATACTAAGATGGGGACTGTCTATATTTTCTTTCTGCAGGATCTTTCTATTACTAATACTAAGAGTTTGCTTGCCCAACAACATACTTATCAAGGTACCTTTAGTCGGATTTTCACTGGAATTATAAATAGATCTTCTTCTTGTTTCTGCATTATATCTGTTCTTCTTTGGTAATGATCTCTTAATAGCCATGACCTTTAAAACCTGAACAAAATCTCCATGAGTTTTCTTCAAGGACCAGTATCTGAGATTGTTAGAATTGGCTTGGATTAATCACCATTACTACTAGAGCAAATTGATGTTTAATGGTATTTAGTCACCCCGTTCCAGTTTGCAGTATTTTGGCGGTTCACTTTAACTGCTAGAAACAATTCTAGGAAAAACGTGTAAAAGAAAAGCAATTTAAATTGAAAATCTCTTTTTTTACACGATTGAACTATATAGTTCCACCATGAAAACTATGAGCAGACCAATGCAATGAGTGGAGTGGACTTCAGCTCATTCTGCCTTCTCTTTTCATTTTACCTTAGTTTGATCAATCAATTAATATCTCCTCCTACTACCCCCTTTTTCCTGTCATTATAAGAAGCCAAGAAACTCAGACAAAAAATAGAAAATAAAATCAAAGAAAAACAAGTATAAATGGCTTGTGAGTTGCTTATATATGACTCCCATTTCCTTTTTTCCATTGCAATTCTGATAAGGTTGCATTTATGTGTTGACTTTATCTTTAGCAGGTATATATGAAGATATAGATAGCAAATTAATCTCTCTGGTTATATTTGGGGGGTGGATTACAGTAGTCAGACGTTGCAGACAACTGGACGTTTTTTACTTTCTCCAGCCTAGCAAATATAGTTATTCGGCCTCCCTTCTTCACTGTGAAGGATGATGAGACCTGCTCTTTTTCTTCTGTAAAGAATATCTACTTAAGTGACTTGATATATTATGTGATGAATGACTACTACTGCTTGACTATCTAGTATCCATGGCTGAACTCTGCTTTCTTGTCCGCATGCATTTTGCTTTAAACAAGAGAATAGAATTTAATCAATATGAGATTTTGGTTTGCATTTTCAATTGTCTTGTTTACTAGAAAACAGGAATGTTTACTGTTTTGCCTATTTTGAAATGGCAAATAAAAAAAAAATCCCTTAGAATATAAAGGATAAACTTCCTCCATGGCTTTTTTCCCTCTTATTGAATTTTATCACTTTGCTGGATAATCTCCATCTTGTTATCCTTATCTCTCAGATGGAACTTCCAGAAAAGGAAGGATTAAAGAAAATTTTATCCTGATTGTATTAGCTTCTTTTATCCCTTCATTTACAATCCAAAAACATAAAATAAACCCAAGTTTTCACTAGGAGTTTTGAATGACTATTGTCTTCAGCCCTTTGGTTGCTTTACGCAAGTCAAAAAAATGAATCTGACAGTACATGTCAATTGCGCTTTGTCTATGAGATACTGAAAGCACCACCTTCCCAACCCATGACTCAGATTGCCTCTAAGCTTGCCACGCGCCATAAACAGACAAAACAACCTTCAATTGAGTGTGGCCCAGCTACCACAGTTTGTCTCCAAACTGTCCTTTCTTTTCTTTTATCAGAGCCTAAGATTTTTAGTCCAAGTTATTCCCTATCCAAAATTGCGACCCATAGACCAAAGCAGTCTCTATCCATCAGTTGGGGGGACAAAGGCTTCAGAATGGTCGTTAAAGAACACTTAAAGGGTTAGGACAAATATTCTGCAACCACGTGTTTATCAAAGTTGATTAGGATTTTGATGTTGCATTATCAATGGTTGCTTCATGATTTTTGAAAAAAAATTTTTGACTTTGTTAACCGTTTTCAAATGAATCATGCCTTTGGAATAAGTTTTGTTGCTTCTCTATTGGTTTTATGAACTGAAATTCAAAGGGTGATGCAATCAAAAACTAATACAAATCAGAAACATGCATGATTATCTTATTCAAGATAGATATCAACAAGCTGCAAGCTTTTATTAGTACAGAGGCAAGCTTAAGCTACATAGTCTCTACTATAATTCAAGTGAGCTCCAGCACTTTTATAGTAGCATGAGTAATGAGTCCCCAGATTTTCCCTTCAGGGAAGTGTATAAGCTGCAAATCAAGCAGTTATAATATATGTTAAGAGGTGAATTTTTTTTTTTTTTTTTAAATTTAGAAAAACAGGAACAAAGATGGAGCACTGAAATCATGACTCACCTCCACACTTGTAACCGACTGGACGGTTGGCTATGTTGCAACGTTTAGGGATTGTTATAGCAATTTCAGGCTTAATTCCGGATGATTTAGCAGTGTTAGAGAGCATAACGGCACAGAGACAGCTTGGAATTTGGCCTATATTCCTCACCTGGGCGCAGCAACTGGGAGAGACAGCAGCGTTTTCGTCTTGTGCTGCTTCAGCACATGGGACAAGTTTCATTGCCTCATTATCAGGAGATGATTTTCCACATTCCCCTTTTGCATCAACCCTTTCAAGCCCCGCAATGCTGACAAGCACAATCAATCCCATAACACACATGAATTTCAATGCAGCTGCCATTTCTCTTATCTCAAAATCCCAGATCCTTCTGCTGACACTGATAGTTAATGCAGCATCCCCCTCTTCTAAAGGGGTATTTATACTGTAACATGAGCAAAAAATGGAATAGCACCACCAGTCCACTAATGGTAATGGAGCAGGCACTAGAAGAACAGACAAATTTATTATTGTAGCACTTTAATTTAAGAAAAATGTGCCACCATTACCTAATTCTTGTTTACTCCAATCAAAGTTAGGTGTCTGCAGCAACAATTATCATTCCTTTCTGTATTCCTCCATCTGTAATCATCTCAAAGACTGTGAAAAAACTCAAAAAATCTTGCCATTTAGCCACTTCAGCCGCTGTTTCTGAAACTCCATTGCCAACTACAAGGGATCACAGAGTGCTTGCTCCAATAAAGCTACCTTTTTGTGGATACGTGTAATCAACTTACAATCAACCACTCCATCTTTATAGGTGTAATCTGCTGATACTGCCGTCAGGCCAATCGAGGGAGTTTCATTCTATCAACATTGTTTATTGATCTTTTTAAAGCTATGATATGATATTGTACATTTTAAAACAATTTACTTCTAGCTTTTATTATCAGAAGAAAACTACAATTGCTGAGCTCTAGGAATTAGATATTGCAAAAGTAAAATCTATACTTCGTATAAATTGCTCTAGAAGATAGAATAATTTGCTATGTCTGAAAGAAAGACGCATTTAGGGCACGGAGAAAAATATTTGGAATTACTCGACTGTCCTGGCAGTGAGTTTGTTGGCGTTTCTAATTTCCCTTCCTCAGTAAATGCAATTAGGAGATTTACCTGCACGCAAAAATCCTCAGATGTAGCATGGGCCTAGACTTCATTTGGAAGATGAGGTAAAACAAACCCCACGAGCCCAAAAACCCTAAGTCTGCTAATAATCTAACATATGACAAATCAAGATGAATGGCCGTTCGCGCAAATGCAAAGTCGTCAAAAGTCGATAAGTGGATAGACATAGAAGGAAAGTTTCTGGATGTCACCACTGACACTGAGATCTGAACATCCACGTTTTTTGTTTTCAAGTTTATATGGATATAGACGAGTAACAGTTAGTTATATTCTACGTTTGATCCACAAAATGTTACGCCACTTTGAGACAATAAATGATGCCCTGAGAAGCACGAATAACAGGGTAATTGTTCGCCATTCCTATTTCTACCAAATATAAAAATAAAAGATACAAAAGTGTAGGTGAAAGACTGCTGTCTCCGGAAATTGGTTCATGGTGTGCAACCTCAGGCCTCATTCTCTTGAACTGGCTCCTGTTTTTGTAGGCCTATTAGACATTCAAAAGATACAGATGTTTCTTGAGATGGGCTTGAAACTGATTCCGTTCCTTCATTTGGATTAGTGTATTCCTTCCCTCTTAAATCAATACTAAGATAATCTGTCAAGATCTTTTTCACACCCATCCCACGCTGTGAAATTTTGTTGCTCGTGATAAACGGTGATCTTTCTCCCTTTGCAGGGCTAACTTCCTGTGCTGGAGAAAAGCTTGGGGTGGTAAATGCTGTTCTATAAGGAGTGCTTGAAAAGGGCACTGAGTATGGTATTGAAAGACTCTTCTGACCGATTACACCAACTCTGGACAGTGAAGAGAATTGTTCTGAATGCTTCGTCAAGTCATCAACATAGAGCAGATCATCAATACGTGCAACAATGTTAAATGCCAGGCTCTCCAAAACTCTTGAGTAGCTTTCCAGAATGGATTTCCCTACATCCTAATTAACACCGTAATATTCATTTGTTAGCATGACTTCGTAATTAAAAGCATTCTCAAGAACAAAACTCAAATTGGAATTATTGACACAAACCTTGTTACACTGAATTTTGCTCATATCTAAAGTGGTCTGGGGCAGACCAGGGAACCGTTGCTTCAAGCAAAGTAGGAGGCTCTCTGCTCGATCTGCAAGTATTTCTCTCTTGTCAACATCAACCATCAGATCCTTGACCAATTCCCATGATGACCTTGAACTAGACCGGGTAGCGTTGTTGGTAGGTTTCGAGTTGGTCTTTTTGCGCCATAAATATATTGAGGCCTCCACTCGGTTGGCAATCTCAATAGCTTGATGCTCAGAGGACAAATCAAGGCAATCAAGAAGACATTCAGATGTAAACAGATCCGATGAAATATAGCGATAAATGAGATCTCCTAAACTGGCTCGGCCATTCTGAAACAAATTTGTAGCAAAAATTTAACGACCAACACTTTCTAGAAAGCATAATGCCCAAAACTTTTTACTGTCTTTTACCTTTGGAAGAGATTCCAAATATGATTCAGGGACTTCCATGTCAGCTAGAGTAATATTGTTGATAGCCATGGCAGCTTTTAGGATCTGGTTTGTGCAATCACGCTTATGCTGCAACTGCTTTCTTGAATTTTCATGGAGGCCTCCCGGAGGCACTCGAGGAACAGGAAGCCACCACTTTTCCTCTTGGCGCTGAAGGGCTTTTCGAAAAGAGGTTGTTCCATCAGCCTCTGGGGCTAAAATCCCTTGGTCAACATACCAGAACTCTGCATTGACAAAGCTATCTAATATCTCCTGCAAAAATGATGTTACATTAAAAATGAACTCTCCCAACTCGACATTGTAATGAGTCAGTGGATCTTACAAGAAGCATGTTGTCCAATTTTCTTAAAGCAGGGAGATTAATGTAAAGATCTGATCGGGGCCTGCAGCTCATAACCTGAAATCACAGCAAGAAAGAGCCATGGAAAATAATTTATAATTAAACAAGATATTGACATATTTAGACCATCCGGTAGTAAAACTTTTCTTTTAGCGGTTTTCTTTTTCATGATTATATAAGTGGCTTAGGAGGATTTCATCACCAATGGCATTTGAATTGCTTCGGAAACTAGACATGGCATTTTGAACTACAAATCCGACACCGTATACAACTTGTTCGCTAGAATTCAAAAACTGCCCTAGTGTCCCATTTTCAAATCCTGGGAGATGTTTACAAGGAAAAGTTTAGATAGCTTTACCTCAAGCTTGCTTCCATCTGGGAAAGTCTGCCACGAGGGTATCAACTCAACAATGTGATCACTAACAGAAAGGAGCCATTCCATCTCTCTTCGCCACATTGCTTTCTTCTCAGACGGCAGTGGTTCTAACCTCCATATTTGCCCAAATAACGTGGCTTCAAAATTAAGGCAGTGAAGGAGAAAGAACCATAAAAAAAAAAAAAAGTCAATACCAATGAACCAACATAAATAAGAAACAAATGTCCACATTGACAAATAAAATTGATAAAAACTATCTTAAAAAAATTGTCAGCATACCACAAAGATTGGTGATGGCATTTGAAATAGCCAAGGCTGTGCAAACACCATTTCCACACCCAGACATATCTTCTCCAAGCAGCAATTTTGCAAATCTTTCCTTCATCAACTCAATCTCTAAAACCCCATTAACCAAACACATCAACAAAATGATTCAAGCAAGGAAAACGAGAGACATATTCATATGATAGTCAATAATACCTGAAATTGTGGAGCCTTGTTTCTCTAATTTCCTATCATCCAAGGGGGGTTTCTCTCCATCTTCACTGCTATTAGTACTGGTGCAGTCTTCTGTCTCAGCATTTTCCCGCACAGGCCAACCCAATGAAGGTGGTGAAGCTGAATCTTCTTCAGAACTACTGTGACTGTGTACCTCCTCGTGCCCCGTTGTTTCTGATGTCAAAAAATCAGAACTTGAACTACTTTCACGACCCTTATCTTCAACCAACTCGGCAAATGTCCCTATTTGAACCCCATTTTCACCAAAGCTTTCATTTTTCTCTTCAAAGCTTTCGTTTTTCTCAACCAAACCCTCCGTTTCAGCTTTCTCTTCTTCAAAAAGACCAGGTGAAGCACAAAAAATAGAGTTGTTAACTATCATCCCACTACACTCTAACCTTTGCAAGCAATACCTATTTGACTCTATAGGTCTGTAGCACAAGCTCCTAACAGATTTTGAAGCCCTAAAGCTCTTAGCTTTTAGCTTTGGTACAGGCAAACAAAGCTTGAACTGGTAATGCTGTCGTGGCAGTTGTTGGTTGGAGTCCATTTGTTCTTGGTGGGTGAAAGTTCCATCCATAGGGTCGCCACCATGTCTGCTTCAGTGAGGCAAAATGGAAGTGAAAAAAAAAATGAAGAGAAATTCAGTGTGGGTTTTTTTCTTTTTTTTTTTTTGTTTTTTTGACAGAAAAAGTAAGAAGCTTTGTGTTCTTATATGTGAGGAGTAAAGCTGTTCATGATTACTGAAGCTTGCTCAAACACATGATTGAGGGAGCTTTTTCTTCACCTCTGAAACTATTTAAGACCGCCCCAATTTTCCTCTCTTTTTTTTTTTTTTTCACATTTGTAAACTGCTCTAATTCTCATGTTATTAAGCAGACAAAACAAGAAAAGAAAAGGGGTTAATAATCTCTAGGCTTTATTTGAAAAATTGTGATAAAAGGTATGGGGAGTCGTGTAGGCGACCGATCTATCCATGATGTTTACTCTTACCGTTTTAAAGTTTTTTTCTTTCAATTATGTTTTTTATTTTCCTAAGACAGGTAAGGTTTTTAGCTTTCAAAAATTACTACATCGGCAGTTCTTGAAGTTTACTTATAACCACCATTTTTCATGGCATTTTTTGAATGAAAAAAGAAACATGGTATCAAAACATGTAAAGTAATATTCGCTTTTGTGATGCTTACCCTCCAATTTTGTCTGTCATTCATGCAAATCCCCTTGGCATTCCAAATCTGAAAACTTGGAATCTTCTTTTCCAAACCCAAATCAAACTCGTCGAACTTGTCAAATCTAAAAATCTGTGAATTGTAAATGAAACTCAACAGGGGATGATGAAAATAAAGCTAGAGTAACTTTTTTTTTTGGGGGGGGGGGGGGTTTTGAATTGAATGCTAGTATCTAACTTCGCTTTATGAATGTCATTTAATTTTAATATACTTGGAAAATTTAGAAGAAAATGGCTTTTCTTTAAAGAAAAATTAACTGAAAATTCCTAGAAAAAATGGTCGGCTCTTACCAACCACATTGTGATTTGTGATGAACACTAGGGATAATGGAAAAAGATGTTTTGTCTCTTGGGCAACATCAAAATGGAGGAATTACGCAGGTGAGTTTGGCAATTTAAGGAGGGACCAGGGGTTTTTTGGTAATTGTACCAGGTTTCAATATCATATGAGATCCGACCAACTTTGTAGATGAATGTTATTAATCTTTTTTGTATATTAAATAAAACCACCTTACCCTATGAAATATAAACATCATTAGGTTTAAGGGACATTTTGGTAGATGAAAAACTAATGTAAGGACTAATCATTGTTCACTAATTGCGTGTTTAGTGCTATTTTCTTCTAATCTATAACATTTGAGGCACATTTCTATCTTTTGATGCAAAATGGTTTCTTAAACATGTTCAATTTATTTATTTATTTCTCTTTGCTTACAGAAGTGAAAACCCAAGTAGGAAAACGACATCTTTTAAGGATTGAGAGCAGAACTAAGACATGAAAGCAACAGACAAATCAAAGCATTTTCTCATAACTAACATTGAGAATGATTTGGAAAATGACATTGGAATTGAAGTGAAGATCTCATAATTAAGAAAAAATCCCTTGTTTAACATACACCACTTCCCCCTGTGGCCCTGCCCTATGGTCTTTTCTAACTTTCCTTGCAAGGCTTTGGATCTTTTGTCACTTCTAATATGGTATATCCATCCCTCTTTGGTTAATGCGGTTGTTCCAACTGAAGATTCCCCCCAACGGCCACCAAACTCTTTGCCTGATGTTGGCTTCCATTTTGAAAAGCCCTTATTAGAGGGAAAGAAAAGACTTCATCCCCAAGCTGTTTTGGGTTAATATGCTGTTTGATCTTTATTTATGAAAGTGTATTTCAACACTTTTTTAAGGCTTTTCTTTAATTCTGGCTCCAAACTCAATTTTTTGAATGGACAACCATTTAAGAAAGGAAGCCTTTTTTCTGTTGAGTTACAAGCAAATTTCGTTGGGCTGCCTTGAATATGATTATTTATTGATTGTGTTGAGCTTTGAATATGCCATATAAGTTGGGATACCATGCACATTTACGTGAAAGAAGTGAATGGTAAAAGGTGGAACCAAATTCTCTTTTGAAATTTGAACTTTTGTACACTGATTCACACTTTCACAACCAATAACTACCTCAATAATGAGTTTTACCACATCAAAATTTTGAAATAAAAATTAAGCTCTTCATGGAGGGTTCATCCTTCTAAATAAAAAAAAAAAAAAGAGAGAGATTTCCATGTAAGTTGGACTGGATTTATGTTCGGCAAAAAGAGAAAAAAAAAACAACCAATATGGGTTTGTAGTTAACCCAAATGAGGATGCAGGCCAATGGCTAACCCATGGGGACTAGCAAATTATGTATATTAAAGATCCAATCCAAGAGCCCATCATTCCAGTAAGAGCTCCATTTTTCGTATGAAACAAAAAGCCCATAAATCTACTTCAGGTCGGGAAGTTGGGATTGAAATTTGGTCTGCTTTGAGCTGTAAGCATGTCCGGTTGATTACCTGTTCCATCTCAACTTGAAGCTAACGTACCATCCTCCTCACATGACAATGAATTTTCTTTTACATTCCAAAGAAGCATTTGACATTGGCGCATTGCTTTTACAGTCCAAACATTTCCCAAAGGCCTATCTCTGTAGAGTTTGAACTTGAAAAACCCAAGAAAAGAAAGAAACCAGGTTTCAAAGGCCCAATTTAGTTTTACGTTAACGCACCATCTTACATCATGCAATTCAAATGTTTTCTTTTTTCCCTTTTAATTCACTTTGACTGGGCTGCATTTATTTTAATCTACTATGGCAAAATGGAAATTTCCTCCATGTTCAATTGTTCATTCATTGGTTCACGACTTCAAGATCCTGACGACTTCGCTCTCACTGCACCGTCACTGATGACGGTAAGAGTATCTTCCTCCCCAAGAAATCCAGTAAATCCTCCCCCTATAAGTAGCGTCAAACCAAATTCTACCTCCAATGTGGAGAAGTAAAAAAGATAAACAGTAACATCATGGCTGAAGAAGTGAAGGTTTTTGGAGCTTGTTTAAGCCCTTTTAGTCGCAGGGTAGAGCTTGCTTTGCGATTGAAAGGTGTTCCATATGAATATATAGAAGAGGATATCTTTAAAAACAAGAGCCCTTTGCTTTTGAAATACAATCCAGTTCATAAGAAAGTTCCCGTCCTCCTCCACAATAGGAAACCAATTGCGGAGTCACTCGTTATACTTGAATACATTGAGGAAACCTGGAAAGGCAATCCCATTTTGCCAGAGGATCCTTACGAAAAAGCCAAGGCTCGGTTCTGGACTAAGTTCACCGATGAGAAGGTGGAATTTGATCATTTAACTACTCTTTCCTCTGTAGTTTTTTATCGAACTCACTTTAAAAAAAAAAATTATTAAACAGCTCAGATTTAGAAATGGCCTCACCAGGCAAAACTTATTTTTGCGTTGCATTTGACGTTTCTTACGTCAGATTTGTTTAATCTGTGGGTGTATAAGTATTTGGCTCACTTCTTTTTATGGTGCTTGTATAGTGCTTGCCTGCGCTACGGAAAGCTGGGTGGAGCCCAGAGAATGAGCGAGAAAAGGCGGTGGAAGAAGCTTGTGAGTGTCTAAAAACGCTTGAAAGTTCGCTGAATGGAAAGAGATTCTTTGGGGGGGATACAGTTGGAATGGTAGACATTGCAGCCAACTTTATCGGCTTTTGGCTTACGATCATGCAAGAAGCAACAGGGCGCAAGTTGCTGTCAGCTGAGAAATTCCCTGAGCTGTTCAAATGGACTGACGAGTTTGTAAGTTGCAGTGTTGTTAAGGAAAGTCTGCCTCCCAAGGACAAACTATTGGCCTTTTATAAAGCTCGCGTTGCTGAAGCCAAGGAAGCTCAAACTAATGCCCCCAAATGAACGTTTTCCCAATGATTGTCGCGTGCTTGCCTCTTTTCTATTAGCTGGCTTTGTCTGTTATCTTTAATGCGATTGTGTCGTGTTACTTGCTCTTGATGTTGATTTTCGGTTAAAAATAAATTAATACGCTTATACATAAATGACTATTGGGTTTAGCATTTTTGAGTTTCTCCATGCCCTTGAATATAAACCATTTGTCCTTTTCATAGGTTAATGAAATCGTTCGAGAATACTAAATGAACAAAGTAGCTTGGGTTGAGAGCTGAAAATTTTAGTCCTAGATCAAAAACCTGACGCCTGAGCAAGTCAATTAAGACAAAAACTCAACCATAATGAAGAATTAAATCTAACAGATGACTCCTTCCACCTTGTCAATTTAAAATAACAGAGTTAGGCCGTGTTGGCAGAGCAGCACAAATTGTCAAATTCATAGATCTGGATCCTTCCATCAGCCCATGTGAAAATGGGGAAAAAGAAAAAGAGAACCAACTATCCCAAATAGAGTTCATAATGTAGGCAGGACTTAATCGATTATCATTATAGCCCATCTGTTGCGGGGCTTTTCAGCACCGTGAAAGGCTATGATTTCAATGGTAGGGCGTGAAATCTATACCAAAGATACAAATTGATATTTATCTCCAGAACAATCCATTGACTGACACAGTAACACATTTAAGAATTTGGTACAAACCTTTACTCCTTAGCCTACATAGTAAACATGATCAACCAAACAGGAACAGCAGATAAAAGCATACACTCGGATCTCAACACTATTTAATCAAATTATTTTTTGTAAATCAACTTCGAAATACATTAACTTATCAGTGCTTGCTGGACCTTGGTGATTCCTTGACGATGGTAACAGGGCAAGGTGCATGTGTCATAACATAGTTGCTCACACTACCCAAGATAATCCTGTTTTTCATCAAAAACACCCAATGCAAAAAAAAAAAAAAAAGTCAGTGATGACACTGATCGACAAAGAACGGAACAATACAAAGAGATCCTTTTTTATGACCGTATATTGTATTCTTTTTCGTACCTTTTAACAGTTCCAAGTCCTCTGCTTCCCATAACCAAAGAGTCAAGTTTTAGATCTTCAATAGCATCAAGAATCTTTTCTCTAGCATCTCCTCCCCAATACAGTTTTGTGACAACGTTTATCTGTAATCGCAAATATGATTATATCTCTGCCTCAAATAAGCCTATATTCATTCAATGGACACAATCAATGGTCTTTTAAAGGAAAAAAAAAAGGGGTGCTGGGGGTAACCTCTTTTTGTCTAGAAGCAGTGTCAAGCATGTCAAGAACTTCAATATCAGTTTTAACATCGTACTTCTTCAGAGTCTCTGGCTCTCTAAACTCTGTCAAAGGAATAAGTGCTGCAAGAATCGAAAAACAACCCAAGATTAGATCAGATCAGAAATGTGAGAAAAACTGAACCTTTAGAGCTTTAACGGAAAAAAAGAAAGAAACATACGAGAACCAGATTTGGCCCAGAGAGCGTTGCGAGACTCATCGAGAGAGTTAGGATTGATGTGGATGATGTAAAGGATGTCACCCTTGTCAGCCAAGTTATTTATAGCCCACTTAAGAGCGTTCTTGCTGCTACATGAGAAGTCCATAGCCACTCCTATCTTCCTATCTCCTGGCATTTTCTTCCTTCCTTAATTTTTGCTCTATCTCAGGCAAGAAGAATCAGTAGGTTGCGTGTCCTAAAGATAAAGCCAAAAGGCGGTTTCCAGAATGAAGAGAAAGCAAGAGTATGGCTGTGTATGTATATGGAAAGGCAAAAGAACAGGTCAAAAGGGAAACTTGATCAGTAACTTGGAAGGCTTAGTGGGAAAGCTTAATCTCGGCCGACAACGTGTTCATCGAGCCTTGTGATGTTGGTATGATGGCAATGAGCTTGCTTGGATTTTATTAGGGTGTTGATAATTAAATTCTAATTAAGTTAATTAATTGATTCGATTTAATTTGATTAATTGATTAATTATTAAATTAATTTTAAATGATTAGTAAAAATAATTTTAAAAAATTATAATTTTTAATTAATTTGATTTTAAAATAAAATTAATCAAAATACTATAAAAATGTATATATAAAATTGTTTATTTAATTTCAAGTTATTAGAATTTTTAATTTAATATTTTAGTGTTTGAATATTTGTATTAGATAATTATATTTAATTTATTTTATATATGAGAAAATAAAAGTTAAAATTAAAATATAAGTTGACTTAATGTATTTTGTTGTTTGCTTAATAAAAAATATTAATTGAATTGATTAAATTAATTTTAATTTACTAATTTTTAAAATAAAAAAATTTTAATTTAATTAAAAAAAATAAAATAATAAAATTTAATTAATTTAATTTTAAATAATTCGATTTAAAATTAATAGAATCCATCACTCTTACATCTGATGATGGCGCGAAGGTATTCCTTTTACATTGAATTATTTTTGTACGCAAGTGGGCCTTCATCGACCATTGCTTCTGTGGGTTTTCCATGTGACTAAGATATGAATGGAAATATTCCTTACCATCTGTCCACCGTGAATTGCCCTTTTTTATTAATTATTCTCGACTTTTTCTTTTTTTACAAGAGAGACCCCTGCAAGTGTAGGAAATTCTCAATCAAAGTCTATATAAGCAATGTTTGCCCCTCTAACTGTAAGTAACTCGGGCCGGTAAAAGAATTGCAAGAGGGTGCGGCACTGGGATTCTGAAGGAAAAAATTACTGCAAATTAATCAATATCAATGAGCACACTAAAGAAAAGAAGCCCACACTACTCAGTACAAAAACAAAAGAAAAGAAGCCCACAGAGTATGTCAATTGCTTGGATTGTTGGTGGTAGAAATTTTGAAACTTAGAAGTTTTATGATTGATATATCTTTGTTTACCAGGCTTCTATAATTGCCAAGACCATTACTTTACGACTTGTTTAAAGTTTCTTTTATAGGCTACTTTGAATTACTATATTTCATTACTTAGGATGCTATAACCAGCAATATTTTGGCCTCCTTCCAATATGTAAACAAGCCTCAAGTCTCTATTGCTGAATGACATCCTAATATGATAAAGTTTTGGGATGGCACGAAGCTTCTTCGAACCTTCCCTTGTCAAAGTGTAATTGTCATGCTTTATCTGAAGAATAACGTGGCTTGCAAGAAATAAACGGTAAATAAACTAATCACTAATGTCATTCAAGTTAGTTTGATATAAACCTCAAGGCTTAGGAAAGCTATTGTTTGGGGTTGGTGTAATTAATTTGGCTTATAGTTTTTTGTTGGGTAAAGAGTCAAGAATATTGTGATGAATCTGGAAGTGAAGAACAATAGCAAAAGGATCAATCTAGCTCAATTCCCTTCTTTCTCAACTTAGCCTCCAGCTCAGCTTCTTGTTTCATTAGCTCAACTTCCAGCTCCCAGTTACTGTCATATTCCTTCTTGATCCTTTTGCTACTGTTCTTCACCTCCAGATTCATCACAAAAATTCATTTAACAAAGCATCCGTAGCCACTGCTTGAATCCATAGCCATATTCTCTGAAACAATCATATATATAGCTTCCAAAAGACCAGAACTAGTGAGACCACTGCGTGCAACACTTCTAGATGAGTTTTGCCGTTGATGAAATTCCTTGTCACCAACAGCTTGTCTTTTCAATTAGGATTACAGTTTTATTATACAGACATGAAGATAAATTTAATTAGAGGAAGCAGTAGTCATTAAATTAAGCGCAGGGGTGTGCAATAAGCTAATGGTTTTGAAATCCGTTAAAAAAAAAATCAAAACAAACGACCAAGAATGTGATTTAAGTAGAGATACTCATGGATTGATTTGTATTTTAAAATTATTGTTCAAGGCTCCGCTTATCGGGCTCAAGACGCCAATTTTTTAAAAATACTAAAATAATAATAATTAATTATATTTATTATTTTAAAATTCAATAAAATTAATTTTATAATAATTAATAATAACCTGGGCCTAGAAAACCTTGTCCAAGGCCCGACTAAATTTTGGGCAGGTCTAGACCCAAGTTTGCTGGTCGAGACTAATTTTTGTAGAGCTCCAACGGCTAGTCAATCATCTCTCTTGTAGAAAGTCCAGGACCAGGAAGTCTGGGAAACCCCCCCTAAGCCTACTTTAATGCTTTTAGCTTCAGGCTTCAACGAGCCAGGGTCAGGCCTACTTAATAAAATCCGAGTCGAGTCGAGTCGTACGCCGATAAAATAAAATTTCCTGCCCAAATCCTGGGTCAGCAAACGATTGGCTCTTGGTCCGTAGTAATTGCTTAATACCAGTCGTCCAACGCCGAGCTTGGTTTGGAAACGGGCCCTGCCCACCATCCCAAAGCAGCCTTCCAAATACGGTTCGCGTTTAACAAAAAGATGAATAAGAAATGTTCAAAAATCTGCAGTAATTAAATCTGGCTAGAGTAATGCATTTATCATTGTCATTATCAGATGCAGTAGAGCTGAGAGACTCTCAGTGCATAAGTATTTGTTGATATTAATTACCATTTCTAATGATTGTACTATGGTTTGGTAACAAACTTTGATCCTTGGCCCCATTTTGCATCATTTGGAATGTACCCCACCAATCGATTTTGATAATTCTATTATTAAAATGGATAAAGCAGGGAATTAGCTAAGCTATTCTAACAATTAAGCTGGATTCAAAATGGATAAAGCAGGGAATTAGCTAAGCTATTCTAACAATTAAGCTGGATTCCGCTTCTGTTTTCCACTTAATCAGCAGATTTGTTGTGTGCCTTGGTTAGTCAAAGTGGTAGCTGCAAATGCCTAACGGAGGAGACAAATGGTCAAAGTTTTGGCTAAAAGAATCCCCCAAGAGTTTCTGTAGACAGTGAGAAACTCCCACCATGACAAGGGAAACGACAAGCTTCAGACACAAAATCCATTCTTCCCCGCTAATCAAGGTGACATGTTCCTCCATATTCCCCTCTCTCCCATACCTTGGAAAACCCTTTTGGGTGCACTATCCAACCCTTTTTTGCTGTTGTTTGTGATTAATGATTGATTATCAATAATCAGACATGTTTAAGCATATACTTATACAGCTGGTCTCCTACCCTACCACGCGCCAGTCATTGCACTTAAACCGGCCCTTTTTGTTAACAACCTTTTGTTTCTATGTGATGGGTGCTTTAACGTTTTCCTCAAAATCTGCCAAAACCCAAGTGCCCAACAACATAGATCTTCTACTCTCTACTGCTTCTGGATTTAGTGGATTGGATTATGTGTATATTCTTTTCTTTCTTTACTTTTCTTGGATGACTTAAAATTTAGATAATGCCATATCGACCTCATTATATATTTTGATTACAACACAAAATCTGTTTATATTAGAAAGGGAAAAGAAGGGTCCAAACTTGCCAATTGTCATCCCGTGACATATGCTAAAGTTGGCGAAACAAATATGAGTCATCAATTTCAATATATGCAAACAATTTGGGGGGGAAAACTGATATGCTTATGTATAGCTTATTTAAAGAAAACCTTTCAAAGATATAGGGTTTGAAGAGAAATGGGGTCTTCCAACTTCTACATTTCCTTTTCTTTAATTAGGCTTAAAACTTGTATTAACACTATAATTATTCCATGCACTATTTCATTCATTTGATTAAATTTTGCAGCAAACCATTGTGGGGCATTTAGCAGGTGAAACTGTTGCTTGTCACGTTCCCCCTAGCTTTTTCAAACAATGGGCGGTGACCTTTGATTCAAAAGGCCTAACCCTCCATCTCTCCCACGCATGCTTGCATGTGAGTAGGTTGAAAAAAAAAAACTAGAAAAAAAAAACTGAAAATCAATTTGAGATTGGAATATTCGATTTGTTTCGAATCAATTTTTTTATTTGATTTACTTTTGATTTAATCATTAAATATTTTAATTTAATTTGATTCTTTTTAAACTGTGCATTAAAAATCTTAAAAATACTTCAATCAAATCGAATTATGTTTTATTAATTTTAATATAATTTTTAAAATTTTGTAAAATAAAAATAATTATTTTATATATAAATTTATTAATTATATTAAAATAATAATTTTTTAAAAAATTAAAAATTAAAACCAATAAATCTAATCAAACTGAATTAATAAAAATCAATTCTGTTTAAAAAAATAGATTCAACTTGATATCATTTTAAAAATTTTAATTCTATATATTAATCAAAATAATTGAATGGAACTGTAATAAAGCTAGGAAAAGATAATTTAATTAGTAATAAGATCAAGTGACTTTCCATAAAGAAATGAAAAGAGGCCGAACTTATTAATAATAAAACGATTCCCATTTGCACTTCTCTGCCCACGCCAATTTGGTCCATTAGACCATAACTACACGACGACAGTACCCTAAACGATTCAATTTGCACTACTAATTCAATTTTAACTTAAAACACTGTTAACAGAGAGAGAGAGAGAGAGAGAGAGAGAGAGATTGTTTTCAGATTTTTGGAGAAGAGCAGCTCAATCTTTCTTTTCTTTGATATGTAGAATTGTAGATATATACATATGAATAAGTTGATATCAGCGTGAAAAATGAAAAAGTAAGGATACGAGGATCTTCCCATGCCCACCACTAAGAATTCTAGAGGAAAAGGTTAAAGAAAACGTAAACAGATCATGTATGTATATATATATATATATATATACACCTTTAATTAAAGAAAAAAAAAGTTATGGTAATGGGGTCTTCTATTCTTCTTTGATTGATTAATCTCTTGATCTGTTTCATTAGAGTACTTAATTAGGTTTGACTCAAGGGCAGCCTTTCTTTTTCACGCCCAATAAGCTATCTTGATCCTATACATCCTATTCCTTTTTGAAAT